TCTTTCCTGGCTATGCCTTTGGCCTGGTGGTAGCACTCGGCCAGTCCCCTCCATCCCCACAGTTTTGCTTCCTTTTCTGTTCAAACAAGGACAAAAACAGATGTTCCACACAAAGAGAAAGTAAGGCAACATTTATAAATGTAAAGGTTTTAAAAAAAACTCTGTATTAGAGGAGGGGAAAAAATTGATTACCAATAAATGGGGCTTCAAGCAATCTCCATATACAGAAGAGTTTATCACAACCTTGCCTCCTAAGAAGTATTGCCCAGAAATATTATCCCCTTGCTGTTGGCACAGATGTTCAGAGACTCTTGTAGAAAAACATAAAATGTGAATTAAAGGAATTATTCTTCTCACTTTGGACTTCTTATCAATGAAATAATCTGAAATATATTTAGATACCAGGAATGAAAAAGGAACCTCTATATGAAGCATTTAAAACCTGTTGACTACTTGACTTTACAAGGAAAGATCTTCCCATCACTTGACTTGTAGAGAAAGGACAAGGTAAGCACAAAGGATTTTCCTTCAAGAACATATTTTATGGGTGGTTTCTACCCTTCTTTCTCTGATCTTTTGCAATTACAAAAAAACCAATGTAACTACCTAGGAACAGACCATGTCACTTTTACATGGAGACACACTGAAGAGGAATTCTCATGAAACATTTTCATGAGTGTAAGCAACAGGCATAATACTGTACATTTGTTTGATTGAAGATGAAGGCAGCTTTTATCAAATTAAATCATTGCTTCAATTCTATCTTTTTATTCCTAGTAGTCTAAGTCAGTTGGATTCAGAGATGTCTTCAGGACTCAATCCAGGAAAGATTATTATCTGCCTCTAAAATGTAGGGGACACTGGAAAGCAAATTTAAGCCCACTCAAAATCCATGGGAACCTAATAAACAGCAGTGATATTTAACTGGCATTTGCAAGCTGAGAGGCAGAATCATTGCGTGTTAGTTTTTAGTCTCATTCCTTCATCATGGTTTAGTGCAAGACACTGGACGCAGCAAAAATTTGTCAAATATCACAGAGATCAAAAAGGTGAATTAATTTAGCGAAAGGAAGATGTTCCCATTCAGTGATGGAAGTTCATACTTCCACACAGGCCACAGACACACAGCTCATGGGTAAAATACTTCCCAAAAAACTCTAAAACTCCCTGAGGCTAGGAAACATCTATTTGGAGTATTATATCCATGTTATTGATGATGTAAGTGTGCACAGGTTAGACAGATCAGCAGACATGGCATTAGGAAGGAACACTGCTGCAGACAGCATCTGTTTACAGATTTAATTAGAAGCTTAGACAAATTATTATTGAATGACATTTGCAAGAGTTGTTGAAGATAAGAAATTCATGAAATTGGCTTCTCCTAAACAGCCCAGATCCAGTGACTTTAGAAACAGATAATAATCCACATCCACAAACTCTTTGTATTTCCTAGTTAAAAAATTTATACCACTGGTCAAAAATCAGCGTGGTCTCTTAAGCATTTTTATGGTCACTGATTCGTCCCTCTCCACAGCTGTAGACAAGGGTTCAGAATATAGAAACAAACTCTTTAGGTGACATTACCTTGTTGATTTTCCCCAGAGTCTTAAGAATGGCTGTAGGCACACCACAGGTACTGCTACTGCACTGCCTCTTTCCTAGGAGGAACTTAGAGCAGCTAGACTTGGAAAGAAAATAAACCCCAGACAAATATTAAATAATCTTCTGCCTACAAAGCAGCTCCCTGCAGATGAAGCCAAGCTGAGTAGGATGGTAGGGGAATGAACTGAAAACATCAAAGATGTGGGACTGCAGTCCCAAAACAATACTCGGGGCTAGAGGGTGGGAGAGGTCACCTTGACCCCTGGAGCAGCTTTATGTAACATTTCAATCCCAAGGATAACCTTAACAAAGGCTTTGACAGAAAAGTTATGTTTTGAATGCAAAGTGGAAAGAGGAGTTTCACACAGGAGTGAAGGACTGTGAGTTCCAATATTAACTGAAGAGAGACATCTGTGAAAAGTTTTAGACAAAAAAAGAAACTGGGACAATCAACACACATTCTCTTACCACTGGAAAATTTCTACCACAGTACTTCTGTTGTCAGTTCTCCTGTATTACACTAATTGAAGTTATTATTTTATTATAGCTATTTTATTATATAGAAACCCAAATGAGAACAGAACAAAATATTTCACAAGCGAAAACTGTACTACCTGTCAGAACAGTGGAGCCATGACTGACACTGAAGAAGGCTTCAAGGGTCTGCAGCTCTTTACTGTCCTTCAGCCCAGCCTTTTATCCCCCTGATGCTGATGCACTGCACCTGTGAGCCCTCTGCTCCCCCTGGGCACTCCAGGGCTCCTTCCCTTCAGTGCTCTCACCTGTCCTGCACAGCTGGAGCCAGCCAGGGATCAGGCTGGGCCACAGCCCACTGTAATCACCTCCAACCCTGTGCCTACAACACCTGCACAGTCTCATTTTCTGCTGAACCAGAGAAGGAACTTGATCTCTAAGTTTCGCAAAAAACAATGTTTAGAATATATTTTTCAAGTCATGGTACTCCTAGATTAAAATTGTGACTCTTCCATCCTAAGGTGCTAAATCAATAGGGAAACGGTGGTATCTCTGCAATAACTACTGCCAACAATTTTATTTTTTATAGGCACTGATTCTGGTTTTAGAAATGCACAGAAAATCGCTTTCACATACCTGCTATGAAAACTTTGCCCTACTCAATATGCATCAGCATAAATCATCTGGTAAGGGTTAATCTTTTAGAAACCATGAATGGTGTTGCAGGACCAAGTCACTAAACCTGCCATAAAACACTTGAGAGACAACTGAGGTGTCAAGCCTCATCAATATCAACATACTTCAAGTAAGGGCAAGAGGAGAGGGGAAGAATGGCAATGAATAATCCCATTATGGGATGCTAGATAACTCACATCTTATAAACAGATACATCAGTCACAAATATGAATATCTTTGAATTTCATCAAAGTCTGGATGCATAAGTAACCTTAATTTCTAAAAAGCTTCTTTCCATAGGAGCGATGACAGAGTTGTAGTCTTTTTTTCCTATTTTAACTTTCAAGATATAACCTTTATTTCCCCACTCTAACACAGCAGATTAAATAATTAGTTTGGGCAGCACACAGGAAGCATCAGTCAATTATTTTAAAAAATTAAAACATTTCTTCCTGACCAGGCAGAGGAAGCAAAGCCTCAAAGGAGGCTTCTGCCAATTTTCAGTGCTATGAATTTGCTCCCTGTGTCATTCTCAGTTACTGCTGTGTATCTCCCCCTAATCAATACGCATGCACATACATTCCACAATACTCTCTCATCCAAGGTCTCACATCACAGTAACTGTCCACACACTTAGAAAACAAGATTGTGATTAATGTCAGTTTTCATTCTTTTTTCCCTATTTCCCACCCCCTCTACTCCTCGAGATATCCACCCCTCACACAGTAGCACCTCGTTCTCTCCATCTGCTTCTTCAACCATCTCCTCACTCCATCCTTCCCCTCTTGTTGGAGACTCCAGTGTGGCTCCACAGACTCCTCCAAGCACCACAAACTCCTTCCCTTTCCTGCTTAAAAATAGTAACTACCAGTCAGCTTTCTACTCCAGACCATGATGGAGGGGAGGGTGCAAAACAAACATGCCTGAGTTAAATAATCCTCTTGTCTTGAAAACTGTAAAGCCCTCTGAAAGGTTGTGTTTCACGCTGCTCCTCTTCATTCCACCCCAAATGCCATGGCCAAACTGATCTTTTCCTTGATGGGATGTTCTGGCCATTTCATTCCACTTCTTAAATCAATTAGCCATTTACATGCCACAGCATTTTCATATTCCCTGTCTTCAGATCCACTGCCCTGAATAACTCCCTGGTTTTGCCTGGCACCTGGTGCCATCCCTTGCCAGTTCTGCTTGTCTGGCTTTGATCTCATCCCACAGCATTTCTGTGCCTTCCCTACTCAGGCACCCTCTGCCTTCAATCAGCTCTTGAAGCTCATTGACATTATTATTACTCAATTTCCCTCTTGCTTGTCCTCTCTGTTCTATTCTGTCAAAGACTGTCATCTCTTCTACACACTAAACTACAGGACCCTTCAATGCCTGAAAGAGAGGAAAAATAGTACATTTAAATACCATCAAACATTCATTTCCAAACCAGTGCCTTCTTTTTAAAGCACCTGGCTTTCTACCATGCATTTATTTTCCCTGCTTTGCTTCCTTTCACAATCCTTCACCTGCCAGTACTCACATTATACATTTCTTTATGCCTAATCATTTCCTGTTCATCCCCTTGGTTCATATTTTTTCTCTTGTGTTTTTCAGTGAACATGGCAGGTTAGTACCAGATCTTGTTCTGCCTGAGAACAACCTACCTTATTCCAGAGGATAAACAAAGAACACAGCAATTAAAATTCAGGAAGACAAAAATCAGAGAGAGAGCACTGACATTTCTTCCCCCCCAACTTTCATCAGCAACTGACATTTGGAAAATTTCAGCCAACTCTAATAAACAAAAATTTGTCCCAGTTTCCTAAGAATGCAAAGCTTGTATGATCACACCCTGCCAAGCAGTTCCATCCTAACCCCTTTTATACTCTGTAAGTCAGTATCAAACAAATAATGCACATGCAGTGAGGACTCAGAGGTTTTCTGTGCTGAAACAAAGAGAAACCCAAATCAGTATCTTCATTTTCTGTGGGATGCAGCAGCCAGCTGGCCTGACCAGCACAATAGTCTGGGGCACCCATCAGCACGTGCCTCCCTTAGCTCTCCTGCCTACACTGAGAGGATCAGACTTTAGCCTTCAATTATTTCAGCTAACACCAAGCCATTGCCTACTGCACCTTTCCCAGATCCCCTTCCAGGATCAGACTGTTAGTAACACAACACTGATGCACTAATTTCTATAACGCAGATGAAGCAATTTTCTTTTTGTCTACCCCCAACCAGAAAAGGAACAATCTGCTCTCTACCTTTTTTGAATTATACTGGGATTTGCAGTCACCAGCTGGGTTTTGGATCCAACGTCCTTGCTGTATTGACTGGATAGAGGAGGAAGGTTGCACCTGCACATAAAGACAGTGGAGATTTTAGATGACATTCAGGACTGCCAGGCTTCAGAAAATGTAAAAACTACGTATTACTGGACATAATACTATGTATTACTACAATTGCTCCCTACTATACCACACCTATAAACATTTTTGTACCAGATTGTGGGGAAATAGAGAAATAAAACCTTTTGCAGAGATGAGATCAGTGTAACTGCTAAGGAAAACCAGACGGGCACTTGACATTTCTGACAGGCTGAAAGGCTGTGGAAGAGGCTGTTACAACGTACAGAAGAACTTTTTTTAAAAACCCAAACTCTTTATAAGTTCTGTTTTTCATTTTGTCTTGTTTACCAGTATCAGGCTTCAGAGGGATAATACCACTCTGTGGTATAAAAGGCATTATAACTGGCATTTTTAATATTACACTGTGAGGTGCCATCATCTTATAGAATTTACTGAGGAAACAGAGGAAAAATCAGGTGGTATTTTGGACACGTGTGTCTCAGTGCTGCTCACAATCTTGTTCTGGTGGGCAGGGTGATGATGGAATAAAGCCAAAGCAATTGAGCAAATTTACTCTGGGAAGCAGAGAATCAAGACTCAATAAACCAGAAGTAGAGAGAAACATCCACACAGTGAACAGTCCTTTGTAAAGACCTAGGAGGAGGAGGAAGGTGCAGGAGATGAAGATACATTCAAACAGTATCCAAGCCTATGCACTGCCCCAAAAATTACTCAGGTGAAATCTACTCAATATATTAAAAAAAAATGGTTTCCAAACATTATTAATTTCAAATTTCTCCTTTAAAACATGACATGAAGAGTATTTGGAATGCTTAAAAGGCAAAAAAAAACCCCATGATTCTCAAAGATAAGCAGAATTTGGATTTTTTTCAGAGAAAGGCTTTTAGGTGTTTATGTTTTTGGGGTTTTCTCTGTGAAGTTTTTGTTAAGTTAAAAAATACAAACAAACAATCCAAAACCAACTAACAACAAAAACAACAACACAACAAAAACCCAACCAAAACCACAGTGGTGCTATATCGGCCTCTATCTGCATATAAATACCAGCTCTCTAAACCTTAAATTCTCATGTAGAAATACCACGGAAAAGGACAGCAATGTCCTAACTACATGGAACACAGATTAATTAAATCACATTCACCAAGAAATACAAAATTTCCAGGAACATTTTCTCATTTTCATGACTGTGTTTCTTAATATGTGTACAATGTATTGAGATTTCAGTCAGGAAGTAGCTTCTAGTTCACTCTCTCACATTTTGAGAGGCTCTAGAGATTTTCAAGAGGAGAGAAAAAAATAATCAAAATAAGAGGTTTCAGAGACTGCAATCATTGACAGGAAGGGGAAAGGGAAAGTCCAGAAACATAGGGAAATTTTAATTCTCAGACATAAAAAATTATGAAGTCTTAACTATAAAAAATTCCTTAAAATAAAGCAAAATAAATGTCAAACAAATATTTGTGAAGGAAGATTTATAGCTGATTTGCCCTAGGGTAGAAAGGTGGCATAATATCTCTGGCAGATCACATTTTGATACTCTCTGCTTTGAATAAACACACGCTCATAGGGCATGCTTTTAAAAAACCATTTTTGGTTCAAGTTGATTTGAAAGCACCATGAAGGACTAAGACCTCACCCTAGTTTTTATCATCCCAGCACCTAGATAATGACAATTCTTTCATAAGCCAGTCACAGATGCATTATTTAAACACATCATCAGCCAGTCTGATTCCCACCTTACGGTGCAGGAAACATTAAGCAATGGCCTGAGAATGCCCAGGAAACTGCAGGACATCTGTTACTTGACCTTCCCAGTTGTTTTCTTGCATTGCTCAGCTGAGTGTTCTGCAAGTGAGGGACACACCGAAGCACAAGACTCATACTAAGAAACTTTCTTTTTAATTGTCTTACTGTTGTAACTGGTACTGAGAAGTGAGTGCATGAAAAATAGAGTTAAAGACATGGCTTAGGACTACTACCCAACATTTGGCTCTTAAAATAAGCATTATCAGGTAGGGAGCAGGGTGGTGGGGAGGAAACTTATTTTTCTTAGGGGTAAGAATTAGAAACTTGAAAATCAGAAGAAGAGCCAATTACAACCACAATACCTAGACATGTAGACCATATGCACCTTTCTCATTGCATATGCAGCTTGCTACGCCTTAGGGGCTGAAAACTGCTGCTCTTTTCCTCTCTGGTTGGAACAATTGTGTTTGTAGGAGATGCTCAGCCACCAGATGAGTTTAAACTCATTAAATAACTTCAGCAATTACAACATATGACTGCAGTCATCTTCTCTCACATGACAAAGCTTATGGAAATATACATAAGTGAAATCAAAATCCACGTGAAGGGAATTAACAAACAAGGACAAAACCTGGAAGGACATCTCATACTGCAGATATACTCTGAAGATATTACACAAATTTCTTTCCAAAAAAATGAAAAGTGTTATGGAAATCACCATTGCGTTCTTTCTCTCTCAGCTCTCAGATTATAGATATGAGATTTAGGCAAGATCAACTAAATTTTCCATAAAAATGATTTTGTATCACTAATAGAACAGAGCCTGCAGATAGTGACTGTGATTCTAGCAGGATTCTCCCTGCCACTTATTTCTAGATCAAAGCAAGCTCTGTACATAGAATGATTGCTTTACCCTCCCTGCAGAGAAACAGGGGTTTATGATCAAGCTAAAATAGCTGCTGTTTTTTTTTTTTTTATTTTTAAATTTCTGTTGTTTTTGTAACTGGGTGCTCCTACAGCATTTATTTCTTTATTCTACGTTTTCTAGAAATTCAAACTGCACACACACTGCAGTTTCTTGTATTTAGTCTATGGAACACCTAAGGGGTTTCACAGTAATGGCAAACAGAGTGCTGCTCTCCCTCTGTGCTTTACATCTTCTCTTCTCTAAGTGCTCCAAGTATACATTTCCCTTTGCCTTTAATTTGTTCTGTTTCTTTGCATTAACAAGCATTTAATAATGAAGGCATTTTTAGTCTTTGCAAACCAGAATTTACAGGAATGGTTTAGAGCAGATTTGTATAGTTTTATAATAAGCCATCAGGATCGAATAAGGAGACTTGTTACAGTGGGTGTTCATTATGCACCCATCAGAAACCCAAAGACACTCCAATTCTCGTCTCTTTTGGAGCATTCCTCCAGTTTCTCCCCCACAACATTTCTCTTGTTCATGTTTATCAGGGGGGAACTAATTTCTGTCTTTCTTCCTTAAGGACCGCAGACCTAGAAAGTGCCAAATTTAATCACGAAAGCAGGAGCTTGTTCAACATCCCTCCTGACAGGTTCTTGTAAATTAAGGAAGGTTGGAGGGAAAGGAAATGTGAAGAATCACAAAAGCCTCACATCAAGGGAAGAAATTTGGCCTTTTCTCAGACAGCCACAGTTCAGTCTTGAGCAAAGAAAAACAAAGGAAGATTTTGGCTTGTTGTAACTCAAGCCTCACCCCATAAACCAGCCCATAATTGTTCTGAGCTCCAAGGCTCACACAGATGGCATTTAGTTTCGGAGGACAGCACGGACCAGGATGAAGCACCCTGGCTACCACTGCACAAATGCTGGTGTTGTGTAGTAAATATAATTCGTGCCATTCCTTGTATGAAATATGTAATATTGGATACTTGTTAGATTATGCCTGTTGTATTCGTTTCCCCCCCCTTGCAGACGAGACTGGGTGTATATTGGAAACTGAGTCACAAGTAAAAGGATGTGGCTCGGCCAGGAGATGGGCCATGACTGGACTCCAGGCGTTGATCATCAGGTGCTGATCATCACATAAATAGCCCAAGATGGATACATGGAAATCCTCAGACAGATACATCTGAATGCAGCCTTCCTGTAAAATCTCATCGGGAATTCACCTACTCCGGACACTGAATTATTATTTCTCCTCATCACCAAAAAAGAAAATCTTATTAACCTATGGACTCTGAATAGAAGAAAAGACTGATTCCTGAAATCTTGGCCTCAGGTGGAATTTTCCCTATAAAAACCGCTTGGGCCAGGATGGAGGTGTGTGGGCATTGGGGAAAACCTCTGCTGAGGCTGACTCCTTGTGGCACACCCAGGGCCGATTCCTGGGCTCAGCACTTTTTCTGTGGCTGGCTAGATAGAATTTGACCGCTAATAAAATTATTTTCTTTCCTTATTTTTAGTCTGGCTGAATAAATTCTCATTTATAACACTGGGAAAAGCAGCTCCTCAGCATCCCCTGAGACACTGCACGAGCCCTCACCACCTCACTGAAAATTTGTCCAGCCAAATTAATATGAAAAAATAAAATATTTATTTTGCAATCAAATTTTATCTAGCCAGTCACAAGGAAAGAACAAAGCCGAGCCCGGGAATTGACCCTGGGTGTGCCACAAGGAGTCAGCCTAAGCAGAGGTTTTCCCCAATGCCCACACACTTCCATCCTGGCCCAAGTGGTTTTTATAGGGAAAATTCCACCTGAGGCCAAGTTTTCAGGAATCAGTCTTTTCTTCTATTCAGAGTCCATAGGTTAATAAGATTTTCTTTTTTGGTGATGAGGAGAAATAATTCAGTGTCCGGAGTAGGTGAATTCCTGATGAGATTTTACAGGAAGGCTGCATTCAGATGTATCTGTCTGAGGATTTCCATGTATCCATCTTGGGCTGTTTATGTGATGATCAGCACCTGATGATCAACGCCTGGAGTCCAGTCATGGCCCATCTCCTGGCTGAGTAACAACCTTTTACTTCTAAATCAGTTTCCAATATACACCCAGTCTCGCCTGCAAAGGTGTGGGGAGGAACTAATACAACAGGCATAATCTAACAAGTATCCAATATTATATACTTCATATAAGGAATGGCGCGAATTATATTTACTACACATAACATCACTGACCAGCACCGTCCCTCAGCCCACATCCCCTGGCAGAACCAAGCCAAAACCCTGCTTTGCTTCTCCTCACACTCCCACCCAAACTGCTTGTGTACAGCACCCTGTAAAGGCAGGGCAACCAGGCAAATGATCACGGATTAATGCCAGCTGAACAGCTCGGAAAAGCTGAGGTTTAGCAGGTGGAAGGGGGGATAATGTGTCATTAAGCTTTCTGTCTTACCGCATGACAAAATCTGCTTGATCTATTTGTCTGCCGCAGCCACTCTTTTTCAGGATCCCACCGTTTCCCACCACGGAACATTTCTTCAGTGGCAGCTGGAAGGGAGTAGCCTAGCAACACAAAACGAGACCAGTTTTACAGAGGAGAACACAAACATCTTTGTAGCAGCCACTCCTGGAGAGCCTAGGGAGGTGTTAGGGCTCAAAGTGACAAAAAGAAAAAAGGATAATTAGGAGTGAAGGAAAAAAAAAAGTACAGAAATTAGCTGGTAAGTGCATGTAGAACCAGTCTGTTCCCCACTCCCCAAACCAGAATGCAACAAATGTGATACAGAGATGCTTTTCTGCAAAACCAAAACTGCCTGGTCCTGATGCAGAACTGGCCAAAGTCAGGCAGTTCACAAGCCTTCCAGGCAAGCTGCAGGGACACAGGAAAAACAAGACAAACAGGAAAAACATAATCCTTGAGAGTGATCTTCCCGAGCTGCTATACAAAAGACAGCTCTGAGGAAGGAAGGAACTGGGAATGCTGCGATGACAGAAGTGTACTCACAATCTGAGTCACCCTGGCTCTCTCCACGGTTGTGTTGCTGGGACAGGTCAATCCAGAGCCTTAGGCAAAGATATTTGGAGCTTGACAGCAGCTCCTTAAACAGCCAGTTGCTCAGACACATTACCAATTAGTATTAGCATAAATTAAAATTAGAATGGGAGCATTTTAGCTGAAGAGCTCTTGTAGCTTCTCAGTAGGGCATGAAAGTGCAAAGTCAAATGGTCATGAGATCCTGTGCACCCAACACAGTAATAGATTAGATCTGCACAGTCCTCATTCCAGAGGATCTCAAAATATGGATGGGACACATTTCTGTTAGCCCCAAGCCTCTTGTGAGCTTGGGGCAGTCATGTAAGCAGCACACAGCACTTCAGTGCAGCCCAGCATATGAAAAAAAAGGTGGCGAAGAGACATGTGAATTTAAAGCAGTGTGATTTAGTTACAGAATGCAATTTGTCTACAATACAAGAGTTCATATTCTCCCCGAGCAAAAAAAAAAAAAAAAAGTTGTGCAGGGATTTTTATTTTATCAAGTCTGTCGAAGCCTGACTTTGCATCAGAGACAGGAGTTACTGCACAGGCCTCAGAGCACACGGATGCCAGGGAGGGAGGATGCAGCAGCACAGAACAATTCTCTCTGGGTGGCCTCACTTGCACATACAGAGCAACATCTGCCATTGCATCATAAATTCACCAGGCATTGCAATACAGGACATGGTCCAGAAAACAGAGCCAGGATTTCAGCACAGACTCTGCATGTTTAGAACTTACTCCTACTGTCTTATTTCTCTTCTTCCTAGATTTACTTGTTTTGTCCACCTTTCTCTGCAAACTAGACTCTGTTCAGCTTGCATAAAGTCACAACCTGCTTTTTAATGAAAAAAACTAACTCTGGATTAAGATAGGCTTAAGCAGAAAAGTAAATTTTAGTGTCCTGAGAGCCAGCCATGGTTAGTAACGTCCTGATAGGACAGCAGAGCAATACTGAATATGCAGCTGCATTCTTGTCCTGCATCTGCCTTCAAGAAGATTTTTTAACTTACACTTACTGAACCAGGAGCATATCTTGAGATTCAAAGGACATCTCATTTCTGAGATGACCCTGATCAAATGAGAACTCACATTCTCTGTGAGGGCATGGGGGTGGGAAGCAGAGGAAATGCACACTATATGTGTTCCATAAATAACAGTACCTTTCCCAAAGATACATCAAAGCTTCCTCTGAGACAGCTGGTTATACAAGGCTGTGCCAAACCACAGAGGCAGCAGAATTAACTCTTGCTTTTAAGAGCAGTGGGCACTGTCACATAAATTCTGTGCCTTTAGACCCCCCAATTTAGCATAAATATAGACATTTAGCAGTTATTAAATGCTTCCAAATTCTGTGAGTTGCAAGCAGCCTTTAATATTGCTTAAGATGACTTGCTGTGCTTCAAGGGAGGATTATTTCCTGTTCTGCTCAGAGATAATACCAGGTCTTGTTTGCATGTGTACTTTGGTTTCCAAAAGCTGATGAATTTTTGTAACTCTTGTCCTTCTGTTACCCTGAACACAGGGTTGCTACCTGGTGTGTACAGAAAATTCCCACACCAACCTTAGGTAGTTCTAGTTTTTATTTTCCTTTGTACAAAGTAGGGAGCATGGCGGGAACCCACATTTTGTGTAAATAGACACAATTTCTACATTTTAACAAACAATGGCATCAATACACATAGGTTCCAAATTACACTTTTTTTTCATTAATCAAACCCTTATTTACTACCTATATATCTCTTGCTTATCATTCTAATTCTTCTCCCCTCCATTTACTGCTTAGTCTTGTTAACTTCACTCCTGGTGGTTCTTGTCCAAACAGGCTGTTCATTTCAGAATAGCACTCCCTTTCCCTTAAAACAAAGGATTAGCCAAGCCTATAAATTTCCACAGGTTTCACAATGCAACTACTCAATCACACCTACTGATTAATGACAAAATAATTCCCAAGTCTGGATCACATCTTGGACTAGGTATCACTTCAGAGAGTCTAAGAAGCAGAAGAACAAGATCAGGGCTGACAGAGTGATGTGAAGAAGCCAAGGAAAGCAGAAGGGGTAGATTATATGATCAGGGTGGTTGTCCCTCTGCCCAGCCTGTGAAGATGCACTTGCTCTATGCACACAGGAGGAAAACCAGGCTGAACACGGCTCCTGGTGGAAAGCCACCATGCCCACAGACACTTTTACCTGCCCCAGCAAAGTCCTGAAGAGTCAGGACATGGCACAGACATCAGAGACCACGCACCACCCTTTAGCTGAAAGTGTTCCACGGCCTGTTTTCCAGAAGAATACACATTTAAACTTTCTACAGGCAACGTTCCAGCACCATTACCAGCGTGCAGGGGGTGCAAAGTCCAAAGGATTACCTGGCTCTGTTGCTTGGTGCCATTTCAGGTGCTTTGAGCTTAAAGAGCAATCGCTTAGGAAGACCTGAGAGAACCCTGCTTTTGTTATCTTGTACATGACTTTGTTTCAGATGTTCAGTTCACAGATCTGTGTTCTTGCTGAGACTGCAGGGACAGTCCAGGAGCTCTTTGTCCAAATAAACACAAAACTGTCTGCTCACACAAAACTGATACAAGTCCTAGATTTAAGTATTGCCCATAGGCAACTGTGAAATATATGGCTTTTTTTTCTCTCACCAAAAAAAAGCTTCTATTGCTTTCCTTCTTTACCTTCTACATTACAACACTTTACTAGGCAAATGATCAGTTCATAGTTGACTGTGTGTAAATTCTCACATTAAAGGGACCCAGCTGACATTTATGCTAAATGGTCACAAAAAGTTCAGCTGTTTTTCTCTTTAGAATTCAAATCTAACCTAATAAAAGCTGGCTTTAGGCAGGATAGTTGTAACAAAAGCATTTCCACTAATATTAGCTTCCTGAAACTCAGTTATTGTCAACACATATGTTATTTCCTTCCGTCACAAAATTTTTATGAATGGCCAGAGTCTTGTGGGTGGACTGGAAAGAAACCAGCCCCAGTTTATTTAGTCTGATAGAAAAAATGTACCAGAAAACCACCAACTTATCCCCATTATTAAGCAATATATTACCATAGACTTTACAAATACTTTTAAATAGTATATCTTGCATACTGGAAATAAGCAGGATGAATTCCCTGGTAAACATAAGTAATTTATTAAAGGAATTGCATAATGAATTTTTTAAAAAGGTATCTCCCAATAAAACCAGAGACAGGAAGGCCCCATTGTCTCATTTTTCCCCTTTTAAACAATGAAACTCTATTGATAATCAGTGAAGGTGTTCTAGTTCATATTTATGTAAACAAAAGCAGAATCTGCACATCCCTCTGCAAATTCCATGACAAATAAGCACACAGAGCAATATATTAAAACTCCCAATTGAATATGGGACTATTTTAACACAGCATCTCTCAAGCAATGCACTGATTAGTTTAATCATTCATCTAAGTAGAAATAAATCACTGTCATCAGTTAAAAGAACATTACACATACTAACAAAAATAATTTTAGCTAATGCTACCCTAAATCACTTTGATTCCATTGTTAGGTTGTTAATGCACTAATTTTTTGCCCACTCACTGCCAAAGACTTGAATCAGAAACCAGGGTCTTACTGGAAAAACAGGGAAAACTACAGTATTCAGCCTCTGCTTTAATGCTGAAGATCCAAAAATCATTGAAAACGCTGAGAACATCAATTAGAATAATTTCTCTTTGAACAAGCCTTTTGAATTTGAAAGAGCTGCTGTGATTGTGCTGTCCCCTTTGCGAAGGCAGCATCCTGATGAGAAGGTGAGGTTGCAGTGAATTTCCCAAGGACCCTGCCATGCCTGTTCCTGCTGTCAGGCGCTGCAGGGTGGCAGCAGCTCCTCAGGTCAGGTCTGGTCTGACAGCCCTGTGTGCTGCCTGCAGAGTGTGAGACACCACAGCTTGGCCACGAAACCCAGCACTGCCAGGGAAGGAGTGTCCTGACAGGGAAATGGGGTCTCTGGTTCTCCCCGTTTCCTTAGCTGCCAGTTCCATCCTAAGCAGGTGCAGGAGCCCGGAGCAAGGAGAGACCCAGGGACAGCAAGGGACAGGCACAGGATCACAGAATGGCTTGGCTTGGGAGGGACCTCAAAGATCACCCTGTTCCACCACCTCTGTGCAGGGACACCTTCCACCAGACCAATCCAAACCTACTGGCCTTGAATGCTTCCAGGGATGGGGCACCCACAACTTCTCTGGGCAGCCTGTGCCACTGCCTCACACCCTCACAGAAATACATCTCTGATTCCACACATCTAGCCTAAACCTACGCTCTCTCACTGGAACAGGCGGGACTCTGATTCAAATGTGATTATTCCAAGAAGAAATGGCGGCAGCGATATGAAAGAAGATAAAGCAGTGATCCCACACTGGGCCTCCAGCTCCCTTCTTCAGCTGATTTGGGCACTGCTGGCTGGAACGTGTAAAACCTGAAGCTGAGTGTTTGCACCAAAGAGGAGCTGTCCAGGTGGGACAAGCTCCTCTGTAGGTCCCCAAGTCTCAGCCAT